AGTAACAATAAGATTATATATCATAATATAAACGTAAATCTATTGTATGATCTTTTTATTAGAAAGAAAAATATTGTACAATGTTAGATAGCTTTATTTATATATATAACTGTTACTCTCGTAACCTTATTTTATTTCAACTCATTTACATATTATATTGGACTATAGAATACATTAACATACTTTGTTATTAATAAAATGTATAAGACACGTCTACAACTATTATTAACATTTTTCGTATATTTTAATGAACTTAAATTTTCTTATGTGTAATTTATTGGCCAACAAATGTATGCATATAATGAACAAAAAAAGCTTATGCTTAACACTAAATATTGTATGATTCAGTGACCATGATAGATAACATTGTAGATAATGTTTTTCTATATTTTATAGATTCATTACCATTCATTTGAAATGTTTCTTGTTTCATGATTTTTCAAGTACCTATTTAACTTTGTGTAACTCTATGTATTATTAATCAAATATAATGTTATTTAATAAATTCACTAAAGAGAAATATGTCATAAAATAGTTTTTCCATACACATCTACAGTTGTAATGAAATGTCAACAATCCTGAGGTACGTATAACAAATAGCTTTATTTTTATTTTTAAAAGGCCTTGTGTGCATATTTCGAGACTTCACTTTTCAATTAAAGTATAATAATTTTTCAGGAATTCAAGTCTATCAGATATTGTATTCACCTAGAAAGCTCGATTATTATTTACAGTGTGTTTATTGGATAATAATAATTAATAATCAATAACGATAATTTTATACAACGCATTGTATACACTCTTATATTGACGTTTCTTCAATAATTCTAGGGCTGTATTAACTATATCAATTCAAGGATAATGTGGATATAAAATTATGCTATTTCGATGACCAACTTTACCCAACTGTCATAAGCTTAAATGTATAACACTTAAAATATTCAGTGATTGACTTGAGGGGAGATGCGAAAGGACTGAGTACTCCAATTAAATTATCAGATATTTTTGCGTACTCCTACAATTTTTTAAAAAAAAAAGACACATGAAGCGGTACTTTATTTAAGTTCAGTTATTATAAA